TCCCCAAGTGTCTCAGTACAAACTTCACCTATATACCAACTCACAGAGATGGAGTGGCAGCAACAGGTTGAGTGGAGACCTTGAAAGACAGAATGATGACCACTAATCACAGAACTCATGAATACCAAAATGAAAAGCAAGTTTTTAATAAAGAAACGGACAAGTTCTTGGTAGCATGCCTCATTGTAAAGGGAACATTTAAGACAGTGTGTGTGAGGAGCTTAAGGGAGTTTTACAAGCCCTACAGCTAAGGACAGCATCACTAGGTTAAGGTCATCACAGCAGTCATGACTCATACTGCAAGCAGGAAACCTTGAGGAATATTACCACAAGGGGATCTTCTCTGTTCTCTTCAAAGATAGAATAATATTCATATGAATACTCTCATTTATTTCAGGCTTCCCACTACTCACTAATTCCATCCAGAAGAAGAGGAATTCCTTTTGTAATACCTGTATGGCTATGTCTAGCAGGTCCAGTTGCATCCTGGATACAGCCTCAAGACAGGCTTGTCATGGGTGTTTTCAACACTCAAGCCAGTGGGCTCTCTCATCTCATGAACCAAACAAAGTGAATGAAGCATGCACCAGAAAAATACAGCTAAATCTGTTTCTTCTCTGTTCCATCCTCATAGATTGCTAGGGAGTGGGTGGCACAGCATCACGAAGAGCCTAGTATATGGCCTGGTTGAAAGCAGAGACAAAGGACCCACAAGCTCTGTCATTCACCCTGATGAAAACCAAGACTGCCAGCTCCTTAGGTGGGGTCCGGAATTGTTCCATGCTAGTCAGAACTCAGAGCGAACACTGGGGAGTCATGACACACTGATATCTCCAGCATGCACTGGCCATTCATCCACAGGCTTTACTTAAAAATCTGAAGCTACAGGGCAAAAATATTTAAACCACTGGGTCAGCTGCTGCAGGATTGATGTTACTCTAAGGAAAAGTAAGATTTACAACCTTCCTAAACCTGTTGTTAAAATAGTTCCTGTCCTGGAAAAGTCTCTGAAGAAAGGGCATCAGGTTCCAGCTATTGTTCGTCCCAGAGTCCCTTCTTTAGTTGCAGATTAGTTAGTGAAGATTGCTGTGAGCACTGACTTGTGAAATAAAACTACTCTATCACCGAGAACCATCGTTTACCTCAAAGAATTGATAGACATTCCATTAAGCTCTTGCAATAATTAAAGCTAAGCAGATTTTCTTCTTTAGCAAGCCCTTCATTTGAGCATATATTCACTCATCCATCCGGCATTTCATCAGCACTTACTCCATGCTTGGTGATTGTACCCACAGTATAGGAAACTTCAAATACATTGTTGTGGAGAAGCAGAAACCAGTTTAATAAAATGGTACCCTCCTTTCCCTCAAGAAGGTCTCTTTTTTTCACATTTGTCTTTGGTTCTGTTTCTCAATTCAGTCAGCAACTCCACTTGGCCCCGGCATTTGCTCACTGCCGGCTTCCATGATCTCAAATAACGAATGACCTAAAGCGAGCACATGGAATCTTGGGACATGACACAGCTCTAACGTGCAAATAATCTCTCAACAATTCAGTCATGCTGATCCAATGATTTTCAAGACATGGCCTTCTCCAGTCGATACAATAAAATGCTTTTCCCAGGAAGCGAAAGGGCAACTGGGATTTGCTGAAAGGGAGCCTGGATAATCGATTAGAACAGGTGGGATGCTGTCTCTCTTCCGAAGAACCCGCCCCCTGCTGATGGCTTCCTTCCTGCCTGCTTTGGAGAAATGCTTAGGATTAAATAAGTGACCTGGGAATGATTTGCCTGGAATGAAAGGTCAAAATTTACCGACACTGATCATTTTATTGGACTATGGGTAGATAATCCCTTACTTAAGAGAAGAAAGATGCCAGGAAGGGAGAGGATGAGAAGGGGGGGCAGACAAAGTGGGTTGTACTTTCTCCATCAACCACAACTTTAAAACAATAGTCTCTAAATATATTTTCTACTATATTCTTTTAACTCACAAAATTATTTTCCTTACTTTCTACAATGTTCTACAACTAAATAGACCAAATATCAATGTTTGCACTGTCCTTGAGATGCACCATATAAATATCACATTTGATCACTAACTTACACTTCATAAATCATTTATTTCAAAAGCGTTCCTCCATAAGGCTCTCCGTTGCTGAGGTGTTCAGTTTTCAGGGAAAGCATTTATTTACAGCCTGAGCCAAAGAAGGCTGGTAAAGACTTGACTAAAAGCTTCACATGGAGAAAATTATGGTAATTGTATTAATGCCCAAATACTTGACACTTGATGCTCAAATTTGCTAAAAAGGTTTTGTACTACATTGCCCACATCTTGACGGGCAATGAGACCAGAAGAGGTGCTTAATACTTGACAGAAGGCTTCCAAGATTCATCTTTCATAGTTCCAGGAACTGCTAAAGAATCTGGAAGAAAGTTCCAGAGGAGTTTCTGAAATTCTAACTTTCCTCTTAAATCTTGTGCTTTGTCTTCATACTGAAACTCCAAGCTCAAACAGGAAGGAAAGTCAAAAGAAACATCATACAATTAATTCTGATAAATGATTGAGTTTTAATTTGTGTAGGGCAAATTCTAGTTCATGATGTGTCTCCTTCTGACATCTATTAAAAATTCATGAACTGCACAGGTAAAAATCTAATAAAGTTGCACTGAAAATTTTCTGTTAGGTCAACATTATGGACTTTTAATGAATATTTTTTAACTGTTTCTCTACTAGAAGAACCAACATACTAATTGAACATGTATCTTGTACAAGATTAGACAAAAATTAAGAAAATGTCAACATAATCACAAAGCAGGAGTTTAAGGCAGATCTAAGTTACCTAGTTACCATTAAGACCAGTAGACATCCTTCACAACTTTTCAAAGCTGGAAACACTAAGCTCCTAATACTATCGTCTCGGCTCACACACTCACCAGTCACACAGCAATTCCAATACAGTAATAAGCATGTCTTCTGGCTAGGAAGAGCTATCCAAGAGTAAACAGTGAAATACTGTGTGAACAAGTTCAGTCCAATACAGAATCGAGACTTGTACACAGGTCATCTATCCATACTTTGTTTAATTTGCCATTGGAATACTCAAGAAGAAACTAACCATTTTGGGGGAGGGGGACTATACTTATTTTCAAAATGATTAAAGTAACTAAAGTAACAATTTGTGTTCCAGAACAGTGTAGTGGTGCTGGCTGATTTGGAGTTTCTGTTCATGCTTAGTGGTTACTAACCCGTGATTCTCATCTGTAAGCAAGCTGACCTATGCGAGACAAGGTATGTGGAATACAAAGGGTGAGGGGAAATAGGATCACTGTCTCCCATAGGTACTTTCCCTAGGTGGACTCTACTGTATCCCATTCTGGCCCAGGTGTGGATGCTTGTCCCAGTCTAGTTCAAGTTGGCCTGAGATGCCTAACATTCTAGTGCTGACTAACCCTACCAGAGGCCATTTGTAGAACTGTATCAGAACCCACAGTCTAGAATGTCCCAAGCAGAGGGGAAACATTGACACAAACTGTGAACCTTGAAAGTGATTAAAGGAACTAAATCTCAAGTTTCTGATCTGTACAACAGGAATAACAAATTAATAGTTTTATGAGGACAATGTATGTAAACCACCTAGTAGGGGACACAGAAGTCATCTGACAATCTTTCTTCCTTGCTTCTCTTATCCCACGCTCCAGGCTTTCTCTACAAGCCCAGAATCTCAGGTGGTTTTGGCTGAGCCATAGATATCACAGCAACTCTCTTCTGCTTACTGTCCTGGCTCTAGAGCTAGCTAGCAGAGGGCGGGCAGATCACAGACTGTACACCATGGCTAACAATGCTGGTTCTTCCTTGCAGTCTCCACGGAGCTTTACATAGAGCAATCCCGAGTAGTGTACCGGAGAAAAGTAGGTTGATCTGCAATAGTCGACTACAGGGGTCAGAAGCTGCAGTAAACATCACTTGCTGTTTAGCAATGTATAAGCACAACTCTCACATTTCAATAGGAACCTACATGGGGACATGGCTGTGCAGCCAGTAAAAATTACATTTTCTAATTAGAATACTAATTCGGGGGTCTACTGAATGTGTGCTGGTCAACAGAAGGTAATCAGAAGCGAGGTTATACTACCTCCAAAGGAATGTGCATCATGATTCTTAGGCCATTTTGATTCTTCCATTTTTTCTGGCTGGGAACTGGTGAGAACTCAACAGGATTGCAGTAATAGCCACTTACTTCTTTTCTCCTCCCTTAGAGAGAAATGAGCTGTCTTTCACACGAGTGCGCTTTTAGATCTTGTTACAATGCTACAGTCAGCATACTAAATCAATTAAGGACTTCTATTCAAGCACATATGACCTAGATAACAACTGCTTACCAGAATGATAAGTAGTAACTATAGGATACAAACAGCACCCTGTGAAATGACCCTGTAAGTGGTAAGGGTTAATGTGTCATAATTACATTTACCTAACACTGAAACTCTTTCACCAGACCTAACACCTAACAGTCACTCAGATCTGCCCCATCTAGTTAGCACCACATAAAATTGGGAGACTATACTCAGCAAGCGTTGGCTTACATCCTACTGTCTGTCTTGTTCTTTGATTCTTCTAATTCTGATCTTTTAATTTTTTCTTTTTCTTCTTTAAGTCTTGAACCAAATTTATGAAATTATTTTCCTGCTTCTGGAAATGTTCCCTATGTACCTCCTTGATGATATCATCTCTGGCTGCTCTGTGCACAATCATCGTGAGTCAGCCCCACTATGGAACTGATAGTCAGACAGATATTCACAATACATATTTCCACGCAACTCAAACAAGTCAGGAAACTAGGGCCTAAAGATATGGCCCATCACAGCTGACATATTCTGAAAAACCTTGTCTTGAAAAAAATAGATGGAGTTCTCATAATACAATTCAAACAAAAAGAAATCACAAATATTTTTGTATATACACAGGAATGATCACTTTTTGAATTTTCTCTTCTTTTACCTATTTTGCTGTAATTATCATCAATGAGATCTTCCAAGCCAACCAGCTTCCAGAAGCTGTCATCCCAACCTTTCTCTGCTGAGTACGTCCATTTGCAGACCAAGGAGCAGAGAGACCTAGTCAAATTGGAGAGAAGAAGGAACAACAATGTGAGCTTACTTCCTTCATATTTTTTCCAAATACCTGCCCTGGTATATTCAGTAGTATAGTGGCAGCAAAGGCAGTAGTAATTATACATTCCTATTTTAATAAAGGGCTCTATGTATACCTGGTTATTTGTACTAGATTCTTTAGTCTTCAAAGTAGACTCAGCCTTCTGTGTGGGTCCTGACCAAGCAAACACAGTAAGTGAATTTTTGCACTTACATCAACATTTATTTGACACATGTGGGATAATTATGAATTATAATACTAATTATTATTTGATGAAACTGAGTAAACATCTCAAGTTTAGATGTAATATTGGTATGGATATATTAAAATTGTTCTTTATCATTCAGCATATAAAATATTCATGTATTAAACAGCATGGCATTTGGAGCATGTTTCAAAAATAACACAAGAAGGGGAAGTGAATGGTGCTGTGGATAGATGGGTAGGATTGGCCTGAACTGCTGGCCATTAGAGCAGACATAAGAATTCACACGAGTCTTGGTGTCTTCTACTTTTATATGTCTTCCAAGCTCTCGACAATAAAAATGTTTCTTTTAAATGTCTGCTATAAAATAAATAATATGTCACTGTAATCTAAATCAATGCTTCAATACTAGAAGGAGTTTTCCTTTCAGCGTCATTTCTCAATGTCACCCTCAATATTCTATAATTATTCTGTTAAAATAACCTTTATGTCTCTGAAAGTATCATGCTCTTGCATACTTCCTCCCTCTGCTCTACCACTTACCGTTTAAAGACCTCTACCAATCTTCTTCATCCTGATGGCTTAAGCTCTTATTTTAATCTAAGATGAAAATTCTAATTTTGTGTTAAATATTTCTTTTCTTGCCTCTCAGAAAATGAAATATATATATAAATTTAAAGTATATACATACATTACATGCATGTGTATGTATATATACATATACTCTATATATTAATGTATATGCGTGTACACACACACGCACACATGGGGGGGCAGACAGAGCCAGTGCTAGAGATCCAATTCAAAGCCTTATATGTACCAGGTAAGCAGTGTACCTCTGATCTATATCCATGCCCAGAGTATACTGTATATTATGACTTTTATCACATTGTAATTAACTACTTTTTCACAGGTATTATCTATATTTCTTCAACATATTCTCCATATTGTGTCCATAGCAAACCTTAGACACCTGTATTATCAATCTTCCCATGAATTCTTGATGACATAATTTCTGTTTGCCACTGTTCTCGGCCATTCCCACCCATCCCTGCATTCCATCCTGTGCAGTACTAAGCCATCGGTACTCTCCTATAGTTAGTCTTTCTTTCTCACTTCTCTTTACTGTACTCGTCCTAGAATGGTCTTCCCACTATACATCTGATTCTTAGTTAACTACCGTAAGTCATCTCAAACTATCTCTCTCTAGGAAGCCCCAGTAGAGGGCATGTTGAACCAAAAGCCGATATTCAACAAATCCTTCTCTTCTACTGACCACTGTAACTATATGCTCATTCCCTTCTCTACCTCTCCCACTAAAAAAGCCCCCTTTGCATCACAAAATGTTCTCTTCGTCTCTGTATCACTAGTCCCTACCTCATGAAAGTATATGGTCATCCATAATGAAATTTTGTTGAAAAGAAACATGAAAAATATGTCTTTATATTGCCATAGGTTATGTGACAAACACAAAGAGATCACAGTCATGCTGTTTTAAGGATAAACAAAAACCGATTTCATGGGCCCAAAGTCTTGATATAACTCATTTAGTCATACATAACCATTCCCTCGCTTGGTACTTAGTGGCTGCTATGATCCAGGTGCTGTTGTAGGCCTTAGTGGTAAATAGTCCTTACACACAAGACCTAGTCCTTTGCTGACCCAGAAGCAGAAAGTTTAACTGGAGAGACAGATATTTGTCGAACAATCACACACAAAATCCTATAGTAACAAATAGCCCTATATGTTTTCTAAAGAAAGAACATACAGAAACAAGAAATTTTTAGTGGGAAATGTGATGCAAGCCAGCACTGGGCGTAGGGTGTTGAGGTGTTTGGGAGGAGAGTGTAAGACAGGCTCCACAGAGGAGGTAACATTTAACTAAGTTCTAACTTGAAAATAAGCAAGAGACATTTATCATTAAAAATTTGTTCAAATGCCATAGATGGCAGAACATGTCAAGTTGTGTTTAGTGGCAAAAAAACATCAAAGGAATGCTTACACCAGCACAAAAAATATATATGCGCTAACTCATTCTCTTGATTTAAGCAAGGCCACTTTTGTCCCAGTGGATGAAGGTGGGAGCCAACTATGAAGCAAGCTTTATAGGACATGGTAGCCTAACACTCTCTAGAATGACAACTGAAATTTCAACATTTGGCGTGCTCTAATAGTATACTAGAAAAAAACAATGCTATGAACAAAAAACAAGGTCAAAAAATTATGTCCCATGACACAAGCACATGGGCCAACTCCCCACTGCCCACCATCCCATCAACATTCAAAGACTCCCATACCTCTACTTTGGCAGTACCTTCCTTCTTATTAACTATTGCTGCTGTCCTCATTTTTATCCATTTGCCAAACTTCAAATCTTCATTACAATCCAGTTCACTGCTGCTGCTCTGTCAAAGTTTTCTTTGACCTCAAAGCCAAACACTGTAAAGCTAAACAGCCCAGGGAGATTGACGTGGCCTCCTGTCTTTATATCTCTACATATCCACACCTTTTGCAATGTACCTTGACAGTGGAGTACCCCGACATTGTTCAGAGGGCCTCGTTTCCTTTGTCTGGATTTTAGGTAATGATTCAAGTTTGCATTTTGGTAAAGAATGACTCAGAGATGATTGCATGCCCATTACTGAAATGACTGCATGCCTGTTACTGGTCTAAATTTAAGGATACTTTGTGAGTTTTAGCTTGTTCTCTTGAAACTTCATCGTTTCCCTGAGGAATGCATACTGAGCTAGCTCATGGGGGGCATCAGAGAACTGAAAAGACAACAAGGATCAGCTTAATTAGACTTTGATCACACCCTTAGATTTTATTGTGTCAGTTAGGACCCCATAGCTGTGCGTCTAGCTGAGATCAGAACTACCCACCAAGACCCAGAGTACACAGTCTGCCCTGAGTCAAATAAATGACCACTGGATTCAACAACTAAAACTTGATGGTTGTTTGCTGCTGAGCGTTATTAATTCATGATAGAAGTAAATTAGTCTAAATGCATTTTTCTTCCTCAATAAGGAAAAGAACAGTAATACCTTATATCTTACAGTAAATGTGAATACTATCCAGAGAATATTCTTTGGAAGAAAATAACTGAGTCAGGAAGTTTTATGGATATAGTGAAGCCCAATTAATAAAATCTCAGAGACAGATATTGGGGTTCAACCTAAAAGTCAGAAAAGCAAAACTGCCAGTCACTGGCTTTTACCTTTACCACAGTATGAAATGGGGATCCTGCCTCTAGAAATCTTAGAATGAGGCTAAGCCTGAGAGCTGTCTCCTCCCATTTTATAACCCTCTTTAGTTCTAGGACTAAAGGCGTGCACCACTACCGCCTAGTTTCTGCGGCAAGTTAGTGTGGCTACTGGGATTAAAGGTGTGTGTCATTGCTGCCTGGTCTATAAGACTGGCCAGTGTGCCAGTTTGACTTTGCTGATCCTCAGGTAAGTTTTATTATTAAAATACAAATAAAATGCCATTACAATACAGATTCCTCTAAAAGAAACTCATTCTATATATAGGTTATTCAAATATAATTAGGTGCTCTCGCTCTCTCTCTCTCTCTCTCTCTCTCTCTCTCACACACACACACACACACACACACACACACACACACACACATAAACACACACGTTTTGTTTTTTCCCTTTTCTGTCTCTCTAACCCAGTGCCTGGTACTTACTCACATTATAGTCTAGGCTAGCCTCAAACTCATGGCCATACTCCAGTCTCAACCTCAGTTTCCTGCATACTGGGATCATGGCCATGTGCCATCATGCATAGCTGGTCCATTTCAATAGGATCTCTTAGAACTGGTAGATTACCAGGCTGTCCCTGGTGTAGCAAAACAGCAACATTTAAAGAGTGCATCTAAGGTCATAGGTTCTGAGTGACTCTCTACAAGAACGTTAGGATTTTATCTTATCAGTCAAAAAAGACAAGGTACTAACAGCAGCATAAATAGGGTGCCTTGCCCAGAAGCTTCTACTGAAATCCAGGCTTTGACAGTCCCCAAAGTATTTTCCTGGGCAATCTGCCCTCCAGGGCCTCAAATTACTGGCCAGTTTCCTCACAGTCAGCCAAAATGTCAGGACAGGAGTTCTGGGTCTTTCTTATGGAGCTTTTATGCCAAATGAATCTAAAATGCACACAAATAAGAAAATCACAGACCCATCAGTATATCAAAATAACAATGCAACACAAGACAAAACATAGCACATATAGCGGGCATGGTGATACATGTAAGAGAGCAAGGTCACATGAGAGATGGCAACTAGAACATCCGATAGAGACGAATACCATTGAAGAAGAAATCATGAAACTACATGGAAAACACAACAATGATGAAAATCACAAGAGATGAGGAGGAAAATACAAGAAAGATTCCTTAGAAGGAAAAAAAAGGAATTTAAAATTAAAACTTAAAGCTTCAGTTGTCTAGGCCAGCATGATGGCTCAGCAGGTAAAGGCACCTGCTATGCAAGCTGGACACCTTGAATGTGATTCCCACAGCCACATAAATATGGAAGGAGAGAGCTGATGCAAACAAGCAGTCCTTTAGGTTGTACGCATGAGCTATGTCAAATGCATGTCTCTTCCAACACATACACATCAATGCAACACATGTATGCATGATGCACACACTAGTGGTGATAACAGTAAATATTAAATTTTCTACAGATGAGCTACCACAAGAACAGATGGAAATCAGTTAAACTACCTTGGAATAGTAGATGAAGGGAATGGCTT